TCATCATAAAACATTCAGTTGAATATTTGTATAGTATAAAAAAAAGGAAAAAATGCTTTTTAATTATTTCTATTAAATAAATTAAATGAAAAACGTTTATGATTTCCAAAAAAAAAAAAAAGGGAAAAAGGAAAATTTATTATTATTATTATTATCATTATTATCGTTATTAAATTTTTTATGCCGATAAAAATAAAAAAAAACTTTTATTTTATTATTAAACGAATAAAAAAAAAAAGAAAATAATTTTTTTGCACAACGGGAAATTCAAGAGTGAAAATTTGAATAAAAATGAAATTATAAAATCATATCCTGTCAGAATAAAATTATTTTTATTTCTCATTTTAAATGTTAATATTTAAGAGAGAGAGAGAGAGAGAGAGGGGGGGAGGGGAAAAATTGATGAAAATGATTTTACAGTTTGAATTTAACTGTTTCAACGATTTACAACATTTCAACATTTTTTTTTTTTTTTACTTGTTAAACAAGAAAACTTCAGCTTTATCTTCATTTTCTTCTTTTTCTACAAATGCTCTCTCTCTCTTACCAAAGGATTAATTTTTCCATTGAGTTTCTCTCTATCTATCTTTCTCTCTTTTCTGGAAAATCTTTCTCATTGAATCGAATTTTTTTTTTTTTCGGTTCCTTAATCTGGAATTATTTGGTTTTTTTTTTTTTTCCCTCAACCTTTTTATTCGGTTAATCCTTCAAAGTTTCTCCTTTTTTTTTACGTTATCACTTCCAACCTTTTTTTTTAACGGATTTTCCAAAAAAAGGAATTTTTTAATTGAAAACGATATAACAACGATAAAATCACAATTAGAATTTTCCGTTACAGATTTTCCAAAAAAAAAAAATTCCAATTCAATATAATCAATTTTTACAAAAAAAAAAAAAAATTTTCAAAACTAATATCGTTAAGAGAGAGTGAGAGAGAGAGAGAGAGAGATGGAAAAACTTTTTAAAAAAAAAATTTTCCGTTACCCAATTTAAAAGCCACGTCATCGAAATCATAACTTTTTTTTTTTTTTTTATTAAAATTAAAACCGGAAAATTACATATCTGGAAAACTGGAATGCTCAAATGCCCAAATCTAATTTATGCGACAGTCGATTTTCCATAAAAAAAAAGTCAAAAGGTAAAGTTATAAGATTACATATATCTTTCCTTATGGGATTTTTTTTTTGACAAACTTTTCTTTTTTTTTTTAATCTAAATATTTGTTTTCGTTGATAATGAAATTAAAAAAAAAAGAAAGAGGAAACGGAAGTGTATGAGATGTGCAAAAAAATCCCTTTTGTTTTACAATTGTCACGTTTAATTAACACACGTAATTTACATTCGTGTCGTTCGTGTTAATACGATTATTTATAACAAAACCGATTTTATTACAATTACTAAGCTTCTATGAAACCGACAAAGAAAAAAAATAATACATTATGTGGGGAGTGGTGGCGGTGGTGAAGAAAAATGGGGGTCAATTTTTAACCCTAATAATTTTTTATTCAACCATTTTTTTTCCTTTTTTTTTAACCCCGGAAAAATGCGTTTCGCACTAACCTCCCTAACCGGTAGCAGGGACTCGGCCCAAGCCCTATACCCAACTAAAACTCTTGGACGTGTTTTACTCTTTCCCGGAGGGAGGGGTGAGAAGTACAACCTACATTTCAGCCTCCACCTCTTCCTGAACTAGAACCATAAGGTACACACTCCCGAAAAGACGAAACCCCACCTGAGGAAGATTCCGGAACTTCCCCTTTTTACCCTTTGAGGGACAGTATCGAGCTGCCACCGTCGTTCCTACCTCCAGAGTCTGCGAATCCTGTTGATCGTTCATCTGTCTCCCTTTCACGTCTCATCTCCACATTTACCCTATTTGGATCAAGTACCCAGTTTCACCCCCTCTAACAAGGGTCAACACATCTCTAATCCCTCGAAAGGGTGCTAGCTCACTTATCCCCTTACATAGGTACAGGTTCTAGTTTGGAGGAGTCGAAATTGAACTCCCATTTCCAAGATTCGAACTCACGACTCTCAGGGCTGTGACTTTTGGGCCCCTTTCGATTCTAACTTACTCTACCTCGGGCTCCTTCTAGACATATAAACTGAAGATTTACCCCTAACAAACATTTGGGAAATCCAATTCCGAAACCTCCACCCTTAAAACCTCTTCTACACCCAACCTCATAGTTGAATTACAGTAGTACACCCCCACCACCACCACCACCACCACTCCCGGCTATTTTACATTAAACCAACACCCACCCATTTCTATTTAATTTTTTTGTTCTCGAAAAAAATTATTATTATTATTAATTTTTTATATCATTTTTTTTTTGTGTGTGTTAAATATGATGAATATTATTTCTTCTGCTCGTGATAATAATAAAATTTATTAAAAAAACGTGCTGTTTAAGAAAGAAAGAAAGAAAGAAAGAAAGAAAAAAATGAATTAAATTTTTTTTTTTTTCACTAAGAAAATTACCCAGATTGTGCATAAAAAATTATTTTTAAAACAAATTTTAAAACTACGGTTCAATTATTATTATTATTACTATTATTATTATTATTATTATTACGGTTTATCTTTTCGAATAAAAGCGAGAAAAAAAAAAACTTCGTTCGAAAAAAATGATTCGTTTAATTTAATAATAATAATAATATATTTTACTTTTGATTTATTTTTTGTTTGTTCGTTTGTTTGTTTGTTATTCGTTTAAAATTTCAATTTATATATATATATATTTTTTTTTTGTTTTAATTGTTTTTCGATGTACGTGATTGTTTAAAAAAAAAAAAAAAAAAAAAACCAGGTCAGACTAATAATTTTTATTTATTTATTGACAATTTTTAATAAAAAAAAAAAACTGTCAAAAATGTGAAGCTTTAGCTTTTTATAAATATTAATTATTTTATATAAATATATATATATATATATATAAATCATAAATAATTATTTAATTTTTAGCTGCCAATTAATAAAAATAATATAAACGGAGAGAGGGGAGGGTAGGGGAAGGGAGTGCGTGTGAACAAAAAGGAAGCAAAAAAAATTTTTTTTTTAAATTAACGTGCGAGTTCTAATCCGAAAACAACAACAACATTAAAATTAAATATATATATATATATATATACGTATAAAATTTCCCAACAACCCCACCATTTTTGTGACGTCATTAAGTGAACAAAAGATAGGTGACGTCATAAAAAGTCAATCGATATGAGTTTTGTTCCGTTGAACGAAAAAAAAAAAAAAAAAAAAGCTTTCAACTCGGAATTATTTTCATTTTCTTTCACCTTTTTCTTCATTATTATTATTATTTTTTTCTTTTTCGTCCGCCATTTTTTTTTTTTACGTCATAATGATTTAAATTAACATTTAATTTATGTAAAATCATGGTTTTCATTTTACGTATATAGTGAAATAAAATTACAATATGAATTTAACGTACGAATTCATTTTAAAATCAAATGAATGTATGAATGGATAAAATTACTTAGGTAAATGTCATTTCCTCTTTATTATTATTATTATTATTCTTTAAACTAAATCGAATTAATGTTTTTGTTCAAACGTTTCTCGTTGTTTAGTTAACTTAAGAATACATTTACTAAGACGATGATAATGATAATGATAAGTTTAATATGCATAAATTAAAGAAAAGAAAAATTTTAACGCATTTCTCTCTCTCTCTCTCTCTCCCCCTCTACGACAGCCATTTTTTTTTCTTTTCTGAACAATATTTATAAAAATGTTTTTTGTTTTCTTATCAATTTGACATATTTTATTAATCGATACGGATGATATGATTTTCGTATTAATTAATATATAAACCTGTACTAACTAATTTCCTTTTACTTCCCTACATGCATGCATTTCCTTCTAATTTAATAGCTTAACGTGACGTCACACGTTTACCTAAATTTGTTATATTATATCCTCCCTCCCTCCCTTCTCTCCCTCCTCTCTCCACCACCCCGGGGGGCGGATTAATTTTTTCCCCGTTAATAATTTTTTTGTTCTCGAAACTTTCAAATCCTACATTATTATTATTATTATTAAAAATTGAATGATGACACGACAACGAAATATAATTAAATTCTCGTTTAAATTAGAACGCGAATGAATATTATTTAAATTTTTCATACTTGATTCGGGGGGAGGGGGGAGGGGGGAAAGGAGGGTAAACAAAAATTGAATTATTGATTGAATACAATACTTGACTTGTAATTCGCTTATTTCCTTTGAATTTTAAAATGATGAGAAATCAAAAAATAAAAAAATAAAAAATGAAAGAAATAAAAATAAAAAATTGAATTAATGCGAATAAAAAAAAAAAAAAAAAGAAAAATTTTGTTTGTTATTTTCATTTCGTTTGAGCCCCCCCTCCCCATTAAAAAAAAAAAAAGCAATATTTTAAAGTATTTTCACTCTTGAAAGGTTTTTTAAACGTAATAATAATAATAATAATAATAATAATAATAATAATAATAATAATAATAATAATAATAAAAGACAAATTATACAGTTCGTTAATTTTTTAAATACGATAATATACATTAAATACATTTTAACCATCGATAAATTTTATATATATATTTATTAAATAAAAATTATTTTTATTCATTTCCGTTTTTAAAAAAAAAAAAAAATGGCGCGAATTTAAAATATAATAATCTAAATTTAATTATTTGTGAAAAAAATAAAAAATAATAATTTTTTTTATTAAATAATCCCCGATAAAAAAAAAAAAAACAAAGTTGATATAAATTAAATATGGCCGAAGTCATTTATAATAATATTTAAAACGTTTTTTGTCCCTACTACTATAATTATTTTTATGTACATAAATATAGATTATTTATTTAAAAAATAATCCATTATTAATTAATTTAAAATAAAAATTTAATTTTTTTAAAACCTTTCAAAAAGAAATGTAAAAAATCTAAAATTTTATTGATAAATTTATTTATTTTTTTATTTATTTATTTATTTAAAGATTTCTAAGCGTTAAAAAATGGCTTTTGCGTAAAAAACATCAGATAGAACTCGCTAGAAAAAGAGGTTGGAAAGGTTATTGGGTTTGTTTGAAAGGAACGACTTTGTTATTTTACCCGTGCGATAGTCGAGAAGGAAGATCCGTGGAAGCTGCACCCAAACATTTAATTATTGTCGATGGAGCTATTATGCAACCGATACCGGAACATCCGAAAAGAGATTATATATTTTGTTTGAGTACAGCTTTCGGTGATGCTTATTTATTTCAGGTACGCGACTTAAACCCGGTTTTACCAACAAAAAAAAATTAAAAAATAAAACTTACATATTGTGTTTAGGCACCCTGTCAAGTTGAACTTGAAAATTGGGTTAATAGTATACACAGTGCTTGTGCAGCTGCATTTGCAAGACACAGAGGTAAAACAGGAACATTACATCTCCTGCAAGAAGAAATATTCAGATTAGAAAAAGCCATTGAATCGGTAAGAATGTTTTATTTCATTACCAAATTTAAACATATTAATAATTTTTTTTTTATAACAAACTTAAAATAATAATAATAATAATAAATGAGAAAAAAAAATAAGCTGCAAATTTTGTGCCTCATTGAATTTTCTCAATAAAAAGAAATTTTTTTTTTTTATCAAAGTTAGTTAACTTCTTTTCAGATTTCAATAGGTTAGTTAAAAAGAAGTTAATGAAGCTTAAAACTACGCAAAACAATCTGCTACCCCCGAAATAAACTTTCTTTTTAAATAATTTAAAATTCAGTTATCGATTTCTATCTTTTTTTTTTTTTTTTGTTAACTTTTAAAAAAACCTTTAATTTTAACAACAACAGCAACAGCAACAATAATAAAAAAAACATGTCATGTGCGGTTATTATAAATGCATTTTTACCAACACTTAACTTTATGTTGTTTATGTTCTAAAATTATGTTTTTAATGTTTTGTTTTATAATAACAATCGTTTTATGTTTTCTTTTTTTTTTTGTTTATGCAGAGCGTTTAAAATTTCCTCGTATTTCCGTAAGGGGAAAATACGACGATTTTAATAAATAATTATTTATATATATATATATTATTATTATTAATAATAAATAGGATCACAAATTGAAACATATGGCAGATTTACAACAAAGCGTAGTTTCTGATCCGGAGACAAAACAACAAATTTATGGCCAAATCGTCGAATGGGAAGAAAATTTAGAAAGATTACATTGCGAACAATTTAGACTCAGATGTTACATGGCGAGTTTACATAATGGAGAACTTCCTAATCCAAAGGTAAGAAGACATAATAATAATAGATTTACGACTATATATACTTACTATCGTTATTTCAAAATATTAATGGTGGTGGTGGTGGTGATAATAATAATAATTTTATATTTGACGTCGTCGTCGTAGTAGCAAGCAACACTCCTCCAACCACTGAAACAAAAACATTTTTTTTATCGTGAGAATAATAAACAATCCGTGCAAAACAAAAAAAAAAAAAAAAAAAATTCACGATATTAAATTACATTAAAATGAATGAATGAATGATGCAAGAGATAATTATTTAAGTTTAAAACAACTGTAACGACATTTTTATTCTTTTAAATAATAATAATAATAATAATAATAATAGTACTGTTAAACAAAAGTAAAAGAGTTTTTTTTTATATAATTTATTTTAAATTGACTTGATTATTAATTAAATATTGAGAGTTTTTAAAACTTTATAAAATTTTAACTTTCCTAATTTAAGTTAAATTAAAGAAAAAGAAGAAAAGAAAAAAATTTTTTTTTTTTTTTTTTTTTTGCTTCTTGATGTATAAAGCATTCAAATAATTGCATGTCCTCTACCACCACCACCACCACCCCCTTCTCCTCCTTCCCAATGGGGTTTTTCCTTTTTATTACTCTACTCCTCCCTATAATAGTAAGTTTTTTTTTGTAATTTTAATGTCTTTAAAGTCCAACCTGTAATTTTTAATTATATTATTTAAATTTTTTTTTTTTTTTTTATAAAATTAAATTATTATTCAACATGTTGATCTGTTTTTCAATAATCTAACAATGATTTGATTTAACATGAAAGTTTAACTTTATTATTTTGTCTAAAGTTTTTGTATACAAAAGTTTACTAGTGAAATTTTAAAGTTTAAAATTCATATTCATGGAACAGTGAGTTTTTCAAAAATAGTTTTACTCTTTCAAAAATAGAGAATCACCTTCTAAAAAGAGAAAGATATATATATATATATATATATATATATATATATATAATATGGTAATTGGAAACTTTTTTTTTTTTTTTTTGGAGACAAATAAAAATTTAGGGTGGTAGAGACAAAAATGAATTCTTAAAACAATTTTTCTATTTTTTTAAATTGCTACTACCACAAATTTATGATAATTATGTGGTGCTTATATCTTTAAAATCTCAACATCATTATTATAAATCAGAATTAAATATAAAAAATAATAATTATTATCTCTTTAAAGTTCTTGAACATCATTAACTCTCAACAAAAGAAAATTTTTTTTTTTGTGTAAAAATTGTGATAACGATGATAATAATAATAATAATCGTTAGCATTCGTTACAGTTAATTTATAAAAAATAAAAAAATGCTCAAATTGTTCATGAGAGAATGGTTACATTAAAACAGTTATAAAATGATTAATGTTATAATTTGATCACTCACCTCTGCATGCAAAAAAATGTGAATTTTTTTGTTCTGTTTTTTGTAGAGTCTTTTAACTCATGTTTCAAGAGCAACGAAAAACACTCTTAATAAATTGGGAGTATTTACTGTATCTTCATTTCATGCTTTTATATGTGCAAGAAGTCCATCATTGCTAAATAATTTATTAGCAGGAAGAGGAGCAACAAAAAGAAGGCCTCCCATGTTGTCTAGAAGTAATTCAGGAAGTTCTAGAAGGAGTCTTCAAATGAATTCAAAAGATGAATCAGAAAAGAGTGTCAAGGTTTCACTTCCAGACAATCAGGTTAGATAAAATTTTTGATATTATTATTTTCCTTCATTATCGATGATGATGATGATGATTATTTTAAATAGAATGTTGGAATTAATATGGTTTCCATGGCGTCATTGTTGAGTGTGATTCCAATATCTAAAATATATATTAATTATTGATTAGTTAAATCACAAATTAATTACGTACAAACTACATAAATTATTAATTACACGATAAACAAATGAATATTATTCCTATTTTTTTTCCCCGGGATGTAAATTTTTATCAAGTTAAAATTTTAATAATCATCATGTCGCCGACATTAAACCTAATAAATTTTATAAGAGAACACGAGTTGTTATTTATATTGAAATTTTTATAAAATTAGATTACCTTTTTTCTTTTTACAAGAATTTTTAAGTTTAAAACTTTGTTAATTTATTAACACTGAAATGTATTAATCCATAAATACCATAAATTCCAACAATAAAATATATAACAAATGCCGCCAAATTGTTAACTAACAACCGTTAAAAAAAACTAGTGGATTACTACTCGAGTCAAAACTTTTACTTTTCCAATAAATTTAAATTAATTTTTAAAATGGGACTTTAATTTATATATTTTTATTGAAAAAAATTAACGAGTTTAAAATTAATTTTAAATTTTTTCACATGTATTAAAATGGTAAATTTTGTTAATTTTCTTTTTTTCTTTTCTTTTCGATTCGAATATTTTATTAAAAAACGCTAACGGTTTTATTTTACAAGAGGATACAATAAAATACACCGCTTCATAAGCTAAATATAGGTTTTAACTTGAATTCTGAGAATATTACGTCATTTTAATGACATTCGCGGCTATCAATAAGATACAGTCTGTCAGTATGAGAAGATATAAGGAATTATTTAAAAATTTTTTGAATGAAAATGAATTAAGTGAAAATGTCTGTCATGAGTATTAGATTTTTTTAAAATGTTTCAAAAGTTTTGGGAATTTTGCGGTTGTTTAAAAAAAGTAAATCATCACCTTTCTTTTTAAAAAAATAATAATAATAATGAGAAATCATATTTTTTGACAATTTATGATCATGAAAATATAAGTTTATTAAATTGAATTGTTTAAATTAATTCATCTTTGTAAAATAATTTCATATGATATTTTTTTATTATAGACGGCACATGTGTACATTCGAGAATCAATGTCGGTTGAGGAATTCTTGGCCAGTGCTTGCAATAGAAAGAACTTAAATGCCATGGAACACTTTGTTAGAGTTAAGAAAAGACGAGATATGGAAGATCACAATTATTTTGTACCTCACAGAACAGATCTCATCGAAACATATGTGAGTTTTTACAAATCAAACAAAATAACAATTTAAAAGGGACAAAAAAATTAATTTTTTAAATTCATTATTCATTACAGCTCCATACTCATGAAATTGTCGAAGTTTGTGCCAAAATATTATACCAAGTAGAATTACAAAGAACCACACTCGAACAAATGTGGGGATTTTCTGTTGAAGCTGAACTTATCGAAAATGCTGATAAGCAAGATGAACTTTGTTGTTATGTCAGTAGAGTAGAAGACAAGAGTGTTGCAATGCAAAACGGTGATTAATATTACAAAATTATTAAACAAATTTTTGTTTTTTTTTAAAAACGATTTGAATTTTGTTCCGAATTCACAATTTTTTTTTTTTTATTTATTTCAGGAATAATAAAAGGGGATGAAATAATGGTTATTAATGGAGCCATAGTCAGTGATTTAGATATGATGTATTTAGAAAGTGTACTTCAAGAAGAATTGGCTCTTTGTATGATGATGAGATCTAGCAGAACAGAACCGCCTGATTTAACTGGTAAATATTAAAGTCTTACAATGAAATGTTTTTCGACAAATCGAAGGGCTAAAAGTAAAACAATTAATTTTTATGATTTTCTGTAATGATTTACAGAACTGGAAGATCTTGAAGCTGTTTCTGGAATTATGAGATCAACAGATGACATAATTGAAAGCTTAGTTTGCCCCCCACCACCATCAGATCCCCCAGTGATCAGTGAGGAAATGATATCTGGCTTAATCGTGCCTGCTCCAGCCTGGAGTAAGTCATTTAATTTATTTTTCATGCAAATTCTATATATGTAGTGTTATTTAAATGAAAAATTTTTCTATAATTATGTTAGGTAAAGAATTGTATTCCCCAGATGAACCTGAAACATCCCCAGCTGTATCATCTGAAAATCCAAAAGCAACATCTAGGACTAATTCATTCGAAATTGAAAATCTTTTGAAAACTGCTGAACAAGTTACAGGTTAGTACGCTTATTGAGAATGGAGAATTTCAATATCGATTGTTTATTTTTTATAATTTAATCTCTATTTTTTGTGCTTCAGGATTTTGCAGAAGTCCTCAAGAAGCTAGAAATAGTCCTACAGGAAGCGTGGCTAGTCAACAATTACAAAGTATTTATCCACCTGGGAGACAATTAACACATGCTGAAAAACTTAGAAAAGTGATTTTGGAATTGGTAGACACAGAAAGAACCTACGTTGAAGTATACATATTTTCCTCTATTATTAAGCAATCGATACAAATCCTAAAAAATTTAATTAATTTTATTGTCCCCCCCTCCATTTTTTTTTTTTTACAGCACTTGAACAATCTCTTAGAAAATTATTTAAAACCATTGAAAAAGGAAACATTTTTATCAAATGCGGAAATTAATGCCCTCTTTGGTAATATACAAGAAATCGTTACATTTCAAAGGCTGTTTTTACAAAATTTGGAAGAATCGTTAAAACTCGAACCGGACTTTCACAAATTTGATCATCCTAGTCAATTTAAAGTAAATAATTTTCTCTCTCTCTCTCTCTCTTATTCTGCCCGTATTAAGTAATTTGTCAAAAATAAATTAAATTTTTTTTTTTTCTAGAATGTTCTTCTCTCTATCGGAAGCGCTTTTCTGTATTATGTTAATTATTTTAAACTGTACAGTTCATTTTGCGCAAGTCATTCAAAAGCTCAAAAAGTTTTACATCCCAGTAAGTATTTTTTTTTTTTTTTATCATGCATGCGACATTTTGTTTTTTTTTTCTAAATATTTTTTTTCCCTACAGATGAAGGGAATCAAGCATTGCAAGAATTTTTAGCAGCGAGAAATCCGAGACAACAACATTCTTTTACCCTAGAGTCATACTTAATCAAACCAATACAAAGAATTTTAAAGTATCCGTTGCTACTTCAACAGCTTAGAAATCTCACGGATCCACAAAGCAATCAACATCAGCATTTAGTCGGTTTGTACAAAAAGAAAAAACAAAAAGCTTGGGTCGTGTTTTGGTATTTGCACGTGCATACGACCAATTTTTGTTTTTCCAGAGGCATTGAAAGGAATGGAAAAAGTCGCGGAACACATAAACGAAATGCAAAGAATACACGAAGAATATGGTGCGATATTCGATCATTTGTTCAGACAACATCAGAAATCTTGCAAACAGGTAACAGGACTTTTCCTTTCAAATAAAAACGATTTTTCTTTTAAATTATTATTATTATTATTATTATTATTATTTATTGTTTTAATTAAAAGCCTATCGATTTGAGTCCCGGGGATCTTTTGTACTATGGCGGAGTCGAATGGTTAAATATATCTGATTTTCTGGGTAAAATAAAAAAAGGACTCGAACTTCACGCCATGTGTTTCGTTTTTAAATCTGCTGTTGTTTTCCTTTGCAAAGAAAGGCTTCGTCAAAAGAAAAAATTGATGGTGAGCAAGTCATCGAAATGAAATTTCAAAAAAAAAAAAAAAAATTTTCCTAACGTGATTTTAAAACTTTGTTTTTTTTTTTTTTTTCCCCCCAGGGTGTTTCTTCCAAGAGCAGTTCGAACGAAGTAGAAATAATTCGATATCAAGTATTGATACCAGTTACCGAAGTTCAAGTGAGAGCATCGTCTGCTAAAGATATGGATTCTCACTTTTTATGGGAATTGATTCACTTGAGAAGTCAACTACATCGAAGATCGGAAAAAGTTTACGTTTTATCCAATAGGTACCCTTTACTCCGATTAAAATATTTAAAAAAAAAAAAAAAGCAAAAGTAAAATTGTGTCATGTTTTTGTTTTATACAGCACGGCCGATTTTAGAAACGCTTTTTTGAAAACTATTAGACAAATCATTCGTGAGAGTGTGCGAAATATGAGTATACCTGCCACAAAACCAGGTAACTCTTCGTTGAACGGTGCGTTAACACTACCGAAACCTCCTCCTCGAGATTTTAGCACTTCCAGCAAGGGAAGCACTTCCGGTAAAAAAAAAAAAAAAAAATTTCGATAACTCATTTGCAAAAAAAAAATTAAAAAAAAAAAATCGATCACGGATTTTGATTTCGTCATCAGGTAGTCAATCGGAATCATCATCACAACGACCGGTTTCACAGCATCAGTTAACGATATCGACTCAATCACCTCAAACTCAAACAACGGGTTCATTGAAACCTCGGATCAAGCCAAAGCCTCCCCAACGTCATTCGACTCCGAACACCACCGAATGCGACAACACCGATGTCGATGAAGGATCTGTAGGTGGTTACAAAAATAACAATAAACCAGTTAACGAATCTGGTAACAAAGACTAGCGAATAACCAAAATTTAGAGCGTGACTATAAAATTTAATTTCTTTTAGAGAAAGCACAATCGTTTAAAACAAAATCAGAGCCCGATCCAGGTACGAAATCAGAAGGAGAAGAAGATTCACAATCGGGAATAATGCCTGGGAAAAAAACACTCGGAAAAACTCCCAATCATTTAACGTTATCATCTACGAGCACACTATCGGCCATGAGTGCCGGATCTCAGGCAAAACTCATTCAAAGCTCTCATCATCCGGAAAATTACCAGCCTTCTCAAGTGAAAGATTTAGGTACGTAAAAATTACAAAGGGGGGGGGGGAAGGTACGAGAGCCACATAATTCGGTCATGAATGGGAAATTTTAATTCGTAGGATCACCGGTTTGGAAACCACGTGGCATGATAGGATTCGGAGAAGCGACGACGTTACCCCGACATAAATCGAAAACGAGTAGCACGAGTTCGGATACGGGAAGCGATCGACATTCCGTTCCTCAAGGACACGGTACGGCAACCAGACCGGGACGGGGAAGGAAATCAATAGCAGACGTTATGATGCACGAAAACAAATAATAATAATAATAATAATAATAACAAAAAGAAGTGGCACTTGTTAAAAAAAAAAAAAAAACCATCGGTGGTCAATGTCTTCCAACAACTACTACTACTACTACTACTACTTATATCGCATTGAATGGAAATTAAAAAAATTTTTTGGAAAATTTAATACAGAAAAAAAAAAGCCACGGATTCGTCAAAAACCAAAAAAAAAAAAAAATTCAAAACGGTAAAAACTATTAAAAAAAAAAAAAAAAAAAAAACACAAAAAACGGAAAAAAGAAGAAAAAAAAACAAAAGAAAATTATAATGGAAAAACCCCAAAAATTTCTTCCTGTATATTTCGAGGGTGTAAAATTAGTCGTCGTCGTCGTCCCCCCACTCCCACACACCTCCCCATTATTAACTAAAAACGGATTTTTTTCTTTTTTTTTTTTTAATTTTTCGAAAATAGAATGTAATTCGCTATAGCCCTTATCATTATTATTATTATTATTATTAAGTCGTAGTATTTATGGAGGATTTACATTTATTATGAAATTTTTAAAAATTTTATTTTTCGCGTTCGAATAATAATAATAATAATAATAATAATAATAATAATAATAATAATGATAATAATAATTTACAAAAACAAAAACGAGAGCACAAAATACATTTGAAAAAAAAAATGTGCCAAAAAAAAAAACTTCGTCGTCTTTCTTCCTACCCTCCCCCCCCACTCCCTCCCTTCACTTAATTTTCAAGTCGTGAACGAATGAATTTTTTTTTTTAAAGAAAGAGAAAGAAAAAATTATTTAGCTTCCCCCCTCCTCCCTTCTTCTTATTCTCCTCCCCTTTCCGAAAAATTTTTTTTTTTTCATTATTTTATTATTATTATTATTATTATTAACCTTATTATTACTATTTTATGAATGTTTATGATTTTTTATTTATTTATTTATTTAATTTTTTTTGACTTATTAAATTTATTAAAATTTCGTAATTGTTTAAATAACGCAACAAACAAAATGTTTGTTGTTGTTGTTGTTTGTTGTTTTTTGTTTACTTTTGTTTACACACGTTAAAAAACTTTTTCTTTCATTTTTTATATAAAAACATTCGTTTTTACTATTATTATTATTATTAAACGATATGAAATTATTTTATTATTATTATTATTATTATTATTATTAGTTTAATGACCCATACAACAAAAAAAAAATTTTTTTTATTTATTAGACTGGGAAAATATTTAAAGAATAAATTAAAGACGAAAAAAAAAAGATAGAAATAAAATGCACAAAAAAAAAAAATATATAATACTCATGATAATGATAATGATAATGATAATGATTGATAATAATGATGATAATGTTAATAAGGAAGGGTATTATCATAGCGTGGGTATATTTAATATTATTATTATTACCGTAAAAAAAAAAAAAGAAAGAAAGAAAGAAAGAAGATTAACGAGAATTTTCGTTATAATAATAATAATATACATAAGAGAAAAAATTATATAAATAATTATTATTATTATTATTATTATTATTATTAATTTTCGCTCAATTTTTTGTCTTATACATATACATATACATATATATATATATAAATATAGAATAATAATAATGATTTAAATTTTTTTTGTTTGTTTGTTTGTTTGTTTTTAAAAAAAATAAAAAATCATTTTGATCGACAATGTTTTACGTATTATTATTATTATTATTATTATTATTATTATTATATTCGAATATGATATATATATATATATATATATATATATATATATATATATATATGTACCTGTTTAAAAGCAAAACATGATAAAAGGTATTTATTTGTTGTAAATAAACGATTATACCAACTATTGAACATTAAAAAAAAAAAATGAAATGATATTATTCTCTCTCTATTACGTTTTGTGTCGAGTGTGCGTGAGTGCGTGTGTGCGTGCGCGTGAACAGTTAGGATTTAAAATAAGAGGAAAAAAGAAAAATTATTATATTATAAAGTAAAATATTATTAATAATAATAATAATAAAACAAGGTATAAATATATATATATAAATGTCGATATTAGAAAGAAATTAATTATTATTATTATTATTTACTTTTTTTTCGTTTGTTTTTCGTTTGTTTTGTTTTTTATTATTATTATTATTAGATTAAAATTTTGAATTTAACGAAAAATATAATAAAATAAATAAATAAATAAATAGACCAAATTGTTTTGTTTTGTGTTTGTCGTCATCATCACACGTCACGCGTAATCATCATCATCATCATCTTTTACTACTACTACTACTACTAATTATTATTATTATTATTATTATTATAAAAAATAATAATAAAATATTTTTTTCCGAATATAACTTAATAATTAATCACTACTGATAAATTCATAATTTTTATTGTAATAATAATAATAATAATAATAATAATAATAATAATAATAATAATGATAATAATAATAATAATAGTGAAGATAAACGATATAATGCATTTTAAACGCTTTTTTTATTTTTTTTGGGTAAATTTTAAATTTTTGAAATTTAACTTTTCAATAAATAATAATAATAATAATAATAATAATAAATAGTTATAATATTAATAATAATGATGATGATAATATTGATAATGATTATGAAAGTATTTGCAGGTTTTTTTGTTTTTCGTTATTTTTTTGCATCTCTTCCGTATAAAACAAAAAAAAAAAAAAAATGATAATGATAATAACAAAACCTCACAACCTCAGGAAGTTTTATCAAATACATTTTTTGCGTGTGCGTGTGTGCGCGTGTATGTACGAGTATTCATGAATTTGTTTGAAAGTTACCACAATTAAATATGCATTTGTTTGTTTGTTTGTTTGTTTGTTTGTTCGTGTTGAAAAAAAAAAAAATTTGGTTTAGAGGAAAATTACGCAAGAAACGAAAGGATTGATTATTATTATTATTATAATTATTATTATTATTACTTTTCGGGAATTATAATTTCGACACACGCGTGATTTATTTATTTATTATTATTATTATTATTATTATTATTAAAATTTTTTCGATGCGTAATATCGTGACGAATAATTAATTAATTAATTATATTATTAATTATTTATTATTATTTATTATTATTATTATTATTATTATGTTGTAAACTAAATTATATTCAATAAATAAATAAAAATATATAAATTGCTCAAAATAAATTTTTAATTTTTTTCTTTTTCCTCCCTCCCGTTTTACTCCTGAACGAATGAATGAATGAACGAACGAACGAATGAATGAATGAAAGAATGAATGAATGAATGTTATTCGATGATATCAATAATAAAGCAGACGATTTTTAATATTTTCCGATAATGAAACGTGCGTACTTATACGTGAGCGTGTAAGTTGATATATTATTATTATTATTTAATTGTTTTTAACAAATTTAAACAAATTCGCGAAAATTTTTTTTTTTTACAAAAATAATGATAATGATAATAAAATCGTGACGTCATAAGATTGTCAAATCGTCTTTGCGAATTATAAATAAATTTTTTTTTATTATTTTTAAAAACCCCCCATTAAAAAAAAAAAAAAAAAAACCAAAAACTTTTAACTCTCTCATATAAAAATAAAATAAACGTGTAATTAGACAAAATTAATAATAATAATAATAATAATAATAATAAATAATAATAATAATAATAATAATAATAATAATAATAATAATAATAATAATAATAATAATAATAATAATAATAATAATAATAATGATAATATTCAGCATGAAATAAAAAAAAGTAAAATAAAAGGCACCGTTCGTGAGTTTTCTCCACGGGTTATTATTAAAGAACTTATTAATTAATTAATTTTTTTTTAAACGAACACGACAGTAAATTATAATAATAATAATAAATAATTAATTATTGATAATAGGAAGAGGTTAAAGCATAGAAAGAGAGAGAGAGAGAGAGAGAGTAGGTGGGTCAATAAAAAATGACGAGAAATTTATGATAAATGACTATGAAGGGGGTAGCGTTAAGAAAGAAAGAAAGAAAAGAAAAAAAACGTAAAAAGCGAGATTTAAGGGTTAAAAGGGAAAATACCGGAAAACGCAATGAGAGAGAGAGATAGAGAGAGAAAGAGAGAGAGAGAGAGAGAGGGAGGGAAAGAGAAATAGGGAAAAATATGGAAACCAAAGTATGGAATAAGAAAGGGGATATTGTTATTATCATTATTATTATTATTATTATTATTATTATTATTATTATTATTATTATTATTATTATTATTATTTCGTAATGGTCTTCCATTGTGTATTTTCAAATGGGTGTTTTACCAGCAATAACGTGACGCATTTTAATTTAAGCTCATGCGCAAATTTTTGACCAATCCGAAACCTTCCCTTAATAAAACTTTTTTTAAAACGTCTTATATGAAATATTAGGGTTGTTTTTTGTATCACGCGATCCTCTCCCTCTCTCTCTCTCTCTTTCTCTCTCTCATCCCTTTTAAATATTTTTTATATGTATGTATACTTATATATATGTCGGAACAAATTCGTTAAAAAAGATGATAATAATAATGACGATAATAATAAGTAAACCGAATGAAAGATTTCATTTTTACTTCATTTAAACGAGTATTACGATTATTATTATTATTATTACTCTATAACCATTGTACGTATTACTATATATATGTGCCAGAAAATTCTATTAGGTTTAGTAAAGGGTCCTAATTTGGGGTAAGGGGAGGGGGTTAAAATTGGGGGTAAGAAAGAAAACATTAACGAACGTATTTAATAATTTAACCCACGTGTGTTTGAATGAGAAAAAAGAATAGAAAATAATAATAATTATTATTAATACTTTTTTTGTGTTTTCGAATTGGTCGCTAACCTGTACAAAAAAAAAAATAAAAATTCATTTTAACAACAAACAACAAACAACAACAACAACAAAAAAGACGACGACGGGGTCTGAGAACGTTTGAACGTCTATAACACCTGTTAAAAATAATATTTTTTATGGGGAAATCACATCCTCTGTTTTTTTATTGTATAAAGCAGGAGGGTGGGGGGAGAGCGGGTTGATAAGGGCTCACGGGGTACATCACTTAACTTTTGAAAAATGATCCTTTGGATTTTTCTTTTTAATTCAGGACCGGATTAAAACCCCCTCGTGAAATCCTTAAAAAAAAATTAATTCCTTACATCAAACTTACAAACTTTTTTTTTTAAATAATTATATTTAAATAATTATTTATTTATTTTCTCGATTCTTTAATAAAAAAAAAAAAAATTATTGTGTACGTCACGTGATTTAATAATATAACAAATTCCTAAAACCGTCACTGATTTTTTTTTTTTGTTATAAAATATGAATTTCTATTACGAAACTAAAAATTCTCGTTATTGAGTAATGAACTATTGTTAAATTATTATTATTATTATTATTTCTTAATAATATTTTAAACTTATTTTTATTATCATTATCATCCCTTATTACATAATTAATAATATTATTATTATCATCATCATCATTCAAACCCCGTTTATTAAAATAAATAAAAAATCGTTTTGGTAATAATAATAATAATATGAAAAATAATAAAATTTATTTATTTATTTATTTATTAATAATTAAAATTTTATTAATAAATAAATTTTACGTATGGATAAGGTGAGGTAGAAGGGGGGAGGGAAAAAGTACATAATTCATCACTTTGGTTTTTAGATGGGGGGAAGGGGAGGATGGCGAGTTTTAATAAAACCGGAAAAGATTTTCAACGGTCAACATGTGTGTGTGTGTGTGTGTGTGTGTGTGAGTGAGTGAGTGCGTTCGTGCGTGTGTATGCGTGCGTGTGTGTGCGTGCACACGATATTTTTTCTGAGAAATAATGATTTAAGAGGAAAATTAACACTCATCATTGTCAAATTAAAAAAGAAAACAGAGAAGGAGGGGCCCCGCGTGTGAAATGCGGCACATGCCTTCTGGTCCACGATCTTAAGAGGAGGGATTTCCCAAAGATAAGAGGAATCCTTATTTTATATAAATAACGTTCGCATATATACACGGGGGATGCGGATTTAAACATTATTACTATTATTATTTATTAAAATAATAATAATAATAAATTTTATTAACTTTTTTTTTCTACTCCTTAAAAAAGTGATTTTTTATGTAAGTTTAATTAAAAAAATTTATCTATTTATTAATATTCGCGATCAACGTACGAATTTATTTAATAAGAAAAAATGTGATTTCCTTTAAAAATTATTAATTAATAATTTATTAATTTATTAATTAATTTATTTATTTAAATACGAGTAATGAGTTTAAATTTATCAAATCGTGATAAAATGTTTTCAATTGATAACATATTAAAACGTGATTATGGAACGTTAGGTGAGTGTCATCTCATTTATTTATTTATTTATGTGTTATGTACATAACTTACATAACTCCTATTAAAAATGTTTTGTTATTGTTTTAAGAATTGTTTGGTTGTTTTTAACGGTCATCGTTTGTCGTTTGTCATACGAATTTTTATTTTTATTTTTTGGTCTACAGATAAATATAAAAATTTTAGCAGTAGTAATAATAATAATAATAATAATTTAAATGATATAGAAGAAAAAAAATTAAAAAGCGAAGATGAAAGTGACGATGATGATGATGAAGATGATGATGATGATGATGGATTCGAAGATGAGAATAAAAAAATAACAAACGGGTAAAAAAAAAATTTAAAAAAAATTTTTTTTGACGAATCCAATTAATTTAAATATGTCATTATTATTATTATCATTCAAACGGGAATTTTTCAGAAAAGAAGAGGAAGAAGTTTCGATAGGGATAAAAATACCAAAAATTGATTTCGACGTGAAATATAAAGAAAAAAAAAAAAAAGGGAAAAATGATGACGTACTAAATATA